AATCGGGAGGCGAGTTGCAGCTGAAGAATCGTCCAGTCCAAGTTGTGGATTTGGATAGCTGTCACTATGAAGGAAGAAGATTCCCAGTCATTAGGTGCAAGTGGTGGATGCGCTCCACCGTACAAAGTAACTGCTCAGTGTCACTGTGCTGCTCTTTGGAATGTCCACAATAATTCTGAGTAAATGAAACTGGTGCCCAAAACATCGAGGAACCGTCAGATTCCTTGAAGTGTTGCCGGCTGTCCGGGACAAACTGTATTTATAAATCTTTTAGCGGTTGAAAGTCTGGATTAAGTGCATTGTATCCCAGCATTGAAGCAAGGCATTTGGTTCATTGCTTTCACGTTCTTTCTGCGGATTTTAACTGCTCGATGTGGCTGCACGTTTTTAGCACGCTTATTGATTGTGAGTGCAATGAACTTGTCAACTGGTTCCAGTCGGTTTGCATTCATATAACTTCACGTCAGTGTACACGGTTGTGGCAGACGATGCAGTCACCACTATGCACTTCCTATTTCATACGTATACATCATTCGGCCGTCGTGAAAATGCACGTTGTCGAATCGATATCCGTTCTTTTCTCTCTTCTTTCTTCTTTTCATGCCATTAGTAATTTTCTATCTAGTACTGTGTGGGAATATACGCTTTCCTTCAAAAAGGTGTCCCAAATGACGCATGATCAATTTGAAGGACCTGGCGATTACCAGGTTTAAGTGAGGCATTAGTTGGTTCTGACTCTGTTTTAGGATCTAGTTTAGCAGTGTAACCCTCCAGGTGAAGGAACAAGCAATAGAACAAATAATGGAGGACCACCTTCGAAGACATGGCCAGCTTCCTGCAACCTTACCCAGCTCGCAGACCAGCTTGTTTTATGCCATGCAAAGCTGATTATCCTGCTGCTCTTGCTCACGTATGTCCGCTTAGCTCGCGCCATCCTATGCTAATACCATCTGACAGTGGGGGAAAAACGAAATTATGATGTAAAAGTCGAACTCATTACGTAAAATAGCCTTTGGGTAATGAGCTGGACAACTAACTTAAGAAGGCGTCAAAACTGCTACTTGTGAGGGATGCAGCGCTCTCTTTACCCACTGTAATGCCGCGAAAATGGGACAATCTGAGAGGCTGCGGACCAGACTACTTGACAAGGAAGGACGCCTCCGAATTGGTTGAGCGCGGGATTATCTTTCAGGGGACAGCGAATTTTATTTTCTTTTGTATTTTTAGTGGAAACGCGATGTTAACGGGATAGCGTTATGTTATGGCATAGCACACTTGGCAAATGACCTCCACGGCTTTTCGGCACATCCACTTACGGTGAGTGAATGTCCTGACTTTCAACCGAACACCTTCCACGCACTATTTCGATCAAAGCGGTGTTGGTTTCGAAGGACATAGTGGCACGATAATTGGTACTCGGCCTAGAATGCTAGTAGGGTGCAAGAGAGTGGGGAAAATGGCAAAAAACTGAGTGAAACGGTCAAAAACCTGCGAAGAAAAGCCTTCCTTGTTAATGACTCGGAAAGCAGTTACGGACGAGTTTCCCATAGTCATTTCGCCAATCGCTCCGGATAGGTACGGCTGAACGTCATGGCGTTCATACATGACGGTTGGCATCGCGGCCGCTTCAGTCAAGCCCTCTCTCAACACCTTTTTCCTAGTAAATGAAGCAATAGGAGCCATTCAGCTCGGTCCGGAACATTTGTGGCAAAGCAGGTAGGACATCCGGGTCGGTAATGTTGTAGCTGCTTAGAGCCTTGTAAGGCCACCTTTCTCTGAAAAGGCGTTACGTAGCGCCTGCTCAGGGGCGCGGGATTCAGTCTTGCTAGGCGGAGTAATTCTACTCGTCTTGGGCACTTATCGTGCCTACTGCCTTTACGGCTCGACCCAGTCCGTTGAGAATAGGCCATTGAAATGGTAATATCGAAGGTCAAGTAATAGTGAGAATGTTTGTGAAATTCGCAGGGCTTAGCGCCGCGGCGTTGTGCACTACGTCGTGCGTGTGCCAACAGATCTGTGGGGTCATTTGCTCGATGTTATTCCAGCTATTCCATGCATATCCAGGGTGCAGCATTGCTGAGAGAATCCGCATTACGAAGACCTGCTTGGTCTACGAGAGGGAGTCTTAAGTGAACGATTGGAAATCGTATCTGGCTTGAAACGAATTTCTTTTCGAGCCCTGAAAAGTTCCCGTTGTTGACTTTTCCGGTCTGTCCTGGTTCAGTGTGTGTTGTGGCCGTGGTTCTACATCCCTCCGCTAAGTGCCCTCACCGTAAAGGTACCACTTAACAACTACATTACCACTGCTTTTGATAGTTGAAATCTTGTAGTTTTTTTCGGTGACAAACTGCCGCTTGTTTGGTTTTTGGGGAATCTTGAAAATCGCCACGTTGTCCCTTCTTGTAAACTCGGCATGATGTCGAAAATTCAGTTACTTCTGCCAAATTGGTTTGGTCGGGTAGGTAACAAATTAAAAGCTTCGAGCCATTTTCAGGCCTCTGAAGAAGACGAGAAGGTCGAAACGTTAGGCCAATAAAGGTGTCATCTAAAAACCTCGTTTGGCAGAAGTAACTGAATATTCGGAATCCTGAATTTCGGAGTCTTGAAAATTATTTGAAAAACGAGAAAAAGAGGAAGTTGGCAAAACTCAAGAAGATGGTAGGTAAGATGAGGATATATGGAGGCGGAGGAGTGGGAGAATGGTACTGACGCCATTATTTTTCGCACCTTGATGCTGTACTTTGAACATAACCCCATCCTACGTATTTTATGATCCAATAAGAATTATTGAAAAATAGAAAAAAACTATGTTCTCCATTTTTGAATTTTGCATAAATTTTGGGACACTCTAAAATACTTGCCTGTCGGAATCTAAGATTTGGGGCTGTTTTCTCAACGATCCTCCATGTCATTGATCATCACACAGAAAAGCCCTTCCGGAGTATTCGAAGCGTTTACTTGGCCTCTTCCGCTCAGCGCCAATTTTATTTTTGGTATTGATTTCTCGTTACTTTTTCGTCCCACTTAGATGATTACTTTGCCTTTTTAGAGGCGCTGTTATGGGCTAGGTCCCCCATTTGAGTGCTGTAAAATGTTTATGAGCCCGAAATGCGACTCTTCATCGCCTGTGAGAGCAAGTTATCCAATTACCCGATAGAATAGAATGTAGTCGCAATAGTGCTGAGCTATGGGGAAAACATTTGGCCATGGACAATAGTTAACATGACCTGCATTCCCGGGCAAAATGATTTTGTTTGGGAAAAACTCATGCGGTAAATGAGCACGATGTCCCAAACGCCCATATCCCATTGACGAGGAGGGCGTGGTTTTTATTCAATTTAACATGGCGAAATGTGTTTTTGTGTGGAATATTTTGCGTGTTTCGTGGAATATTTCCATTTTAGGCCATTGCCATCCTGTCTTGTGCTGGACAACGGCAATGGTCCCAAAGTGGCAATATACCACCAAAAGCGCAGCCAAGTTCAAATAAAGTAGGCAGCTGCGCCCTCCCCATTTGCCGTATGTGAAAAGTACATAACTGCATGCATATAACTGCATCTCAATTCCCATCTTTTTGCTGGGATGCTATGACGAAGAAGAAAAATATTCCTCTCCTCCCTTTTTGCCAGCTCAAACACGACCCCATTGACCTCAAATTCCCTGCCACAAATTTCTGAAGTGAATGAATCACAAAAATATTATCAGAAAACATTGATCCTACTAGGCAGCTGTTTCTCGATCTAGTAAGGGAGGAGACCTCGACAACGAGACCGTGGGTGGGTTTGCTTTCAGCGGTACTGGTGTATTCGCGAGGAAAAGGTACCCGACATGAAGTTGGAGTTGGCGAAGTTTTTGGTGATCAGAGCGTAATCTAACACCTCGAACAGACTCGGGTCCCAAATGGCGACGATCATTCGGAACTCTGGGCCAATTCTGAATGTCCTGCTCAACAACCGTCTATGGGTGCAAGTTAATTGAAACACCCACAAGCCTTAGTATGCTTTGTTGTGGGAAGAGAGAAGTTGGAGAATTGATCCTACTCTACGAGAGTTCTAGATAGCTCGCTTAAAGGAACACCCCACGATAAAAAGTCCAGGTGATTTTGCAGAAATGTGGAAGAAAATTCGCCAAGTGAACCGTCTATGAAGAGAAAATGCCAAAGGGAACGTTGGAAACGCATTCGTCAGGCCTCCTCTAGCCTCAAACAACTGTAGAGGTAAAAGACCGAAAGACCGCGCGCTGGGACGATTCCCGTCGGCTGATTCCCAGTAATGAACCCTATGACTCTACAAGAGACACTGAATGCATCCACTCCATGATACTTGCCCGAGGAGCATTACTTTTGGCTGGAAGGCCGACTTTGGAGGCGGAGTCACTGGAAAAAGGGATGTACCTCTGAAGCAAATCTGTGTCTTGATTCCTTTACCGTTTAATTTTCCGCCGCGAAACTGGCCCAGGGTTGTTCACTCCGGACCGCACTACCTTCCTACATAACCACCTGCATTTTCATAGGTCATCGCGGACCGTTCCTGTAAGATAAAGCAGAAAAAAAACATATCTTCATCCCGTCAAATTGGAAATTTTCAATGGCTCACTTAGTGGTACCTCGATTTTACCCAGAACCGCCTTATCCATCCTCCCGACCTCGTCCATTTTAACCATAGCGGACCCCGTCAACTCATGGAGTATCCTGCGCCTCCAGTTGAAGCCCTATGGGTAGAATTTCCACTGAGAACAGAGAAAAGAGCATGTAACAGGTAGAAACCACCTAAAATATGCAGAACAAAATATAAGGGTGGCAGAGCAGCCGCCGTACTTTTATCCAATTAGTCACGCTCTCTGTTGAGAATTGGGATCTCATTGCATTAGGCATCTAAGAGTAGCACCCTTTATCAACGAGAGCCAGACAGTTGCCTTGTTCAAGCCAGTGTCATCGATGACCTAGAAACATTTGGGGAAAATCTTACTATATTCACTGCTGCAGTATATTTTAGGTAATAATGACTGTTGGAGGACCGACGATCACACTTTCCAATGGCGTGAAAATGCCACAAGTTGGACTGGGAACTTGGATGGTAAGGTTCTCGAATTAACAGCTAATTTAATAGACACCGCCCATGGCACCCCAGATTTAATAAGACCCCCACGATAAAAAGTGGATTCCCAGGAGCCCATGAAGATCCTGAATTTTATTTCGCTCTCGTGGCAAAGACTCCAAACATGTAATGACAAAGGATGAGACACGTCTTTGGAAGTGCATGTCATCGCATCTTCATGGGCTTTTGAATTGGTTGAGCGGCTGAAACGAAAAAAAGAGATAGATTGAGAGACCGATATCAAGCCTCATGAAAATGACGTTGTTCCTTTGGGCTTGCGTCTGGTTATAGTGGATTACGAGATGACGTATAGTCGATGTTCGCCGAAAATCGTATTAGCGTTTAGTGGCGAGAGCTCTTGTAATTGCCCTCTCCCTTCGCCATTCCCTTACTCTCGTCCCCTCTTATGTCTGCGAGAGATTTAAGCGGTACGAATCCACTAAAGGCGTAGGGATCCTTCAATTCCACCACGTAGTTCGGCATGAAGAATACGGCGAGATCAAGGGAGTCCCTACAGGAGAACAGGATGAAAGAACGAATAAAATCTTTGAAACAGATTTGTTGTAAAATCTAATAAATGAGAATTATTGAGGGGGGTCGAAAGCAAAGAGATAGCTCAGCTTCCGTTTCGCACGTGCCCTTAGACGGAAGCCGAGCAAAAGCATATTCCTCCTTCCGTGCTCTTCAGTAAGGAAAGGAAGAAAAATCAGTTGCAGCAAGTTTATAAGGTATAAAGTTGAAACGATAAAGGACTGAGAGGTTTAAAGAAAAAGTGCTAATTGATTTGGAGTATACGTGAAGTAGGGACGTCGTAATTACGAAAAACTATCAGTTGATGTTACATTATAATATCCGAAAATACTACACGACACATGCAGGTAAAAAAATGTGTTACATAGACACCAATTTAAACGAAAAAGCCACTGAGAATACCTCGGACTAATCTGCTTATGCTACCGTAATCATTCATAATAGAGTATTTGTAACATATAAGTTTATTTCTATAAATACTCCTCACTATACTAGCTATAATGAAGTCCTCACTGTAACCAACTGCTAAAGCATTCTTACCCCATATCCGATATTCTTCCAATAAACGTATCAAAGCAAGTACAGGTGTTGGCTATCCTAAGGGTTTCTGTGTATATAACGGAAGCCTTATTGTTAGTGGAGATATTTGAATCACTGTGTGGGAATCTAATCACTTTAAAGTTAAAGTCATCTGTTTTATTATATAAACCAGTAGTAATTTGGCCGTTTACTATATTGATGGTTAAGTCCAAATAATTACTGTATAGCTCAGTTGTGTGTGTCTTCTTCAACTGGAGGGTATTTCTATAGACCTCCGCGAGTTGTTCATCGACTTCATTTTCAGACTGGTTATGTATGACTAGGAGATCATCCATATATCTGTATGGAATGAGCAACTTACTAGCATTGAATCTATTGCACACTTTGCATTAATTGTATTCCATATTGAATTGCACACGAAGGTCTGCCAACAGCGGGCTGAAGTTGCCTCCTTGTGGAACACCTTTAGTCTGGTTGAATATGTTACCAGCAAAAATACAAAAACTGTTGCGCAATAAGTAATCGATAAGATAAATTAAGTCGGTAGCTTTGTAGTATCTGTAGTTGCTTTTATTTGCTCTACCGTCTGAGTAAAAAACATGGTAACCATTACTAGCAATGAACGCCTTATTGGCATTTTTGAAGCAGATGCTCATAAGCTGTTGCATATTCCTGATAATGAGGCTATGTTCCAAGTTTGTAAACATGTCAGTGAAATCGGCAGTATATATTTTAACATTGCCGTAGGCAATATTAGTCAGCTCCTGACTTATATTGATGTTGTCTATCGACCAGTAAGTCTTAATCGTTCTGTTTCGGTTTTGCATCACTTTTGCATAGTTTATGAAATGGTTTTTGAAATGTTTGAAAATAACATGTAGTTCTTTGGCTAGAGGTTTGATGCTACTGCTATGTGCGCCAGTAATATATCTGAACTTGATCGGATCCTTTGTGCAGTTTAGGCAGAGCATATATAGTTGGTAGATCTGAATCAACTTCTATATTGAGATTGTTCCTTACACAGAAGAACTTGTGCTTCAGTATCATCGGATATTTGTTACCCGACCTCACAAATTCATACGTGTTGTTACTGTCTCCATATGCGAATGTGCCATTATCAGCGTCATAGCTTATTCCCATTTCCTTCATCAAGTTGACTAAGTAGAATTTTTTACATATAACGAAACCATTCTGTGATTAGTGTTTCTGTGGGACTCAGCAATGTCTTGGTTGGAAGAAAATGAGAAAATAATCGTTATTTGAGAGGGAGTGAGCAAGCACTAGGTGGGAATAAAGTTCTGCATCACTTCTAGCGAATTAGTTTATAAAAAAAGCCGAAAGGCCGTGGCGACTCTAGTCCACTCTATTACCTTTTAGAAGATTGCCACTTCATTGGATGAAACTGTTGAAAAAAAATTAGACTACTTCCTACTCCACGACTCCATGTGAAAATGATGACGCTTCAAAAGATTGTGGACAGGGTACAGCATCCTTGTGTGAAACCCATGGGGGGATCGTACTTGGCCGCTGAGCAGGGGGGGGGGTCGTGGTTGGTCTGTTGGGAGAGGGGTGAAAGAAATTTGCCGCGTTGGGAAAAACTTCTTCTCGATTGTGACTTCGGCTTCTCCCGTTTTACATGTGCTATTTACCCACCCCCCTGTCGGAAATTTCGGAAAACTGGTAGGAAGCTGGGAACTTGTAGAACAGTGGTAGGCAGGTAGGTGTTGGGGAAGGGGGAGGGTCGTACCGAAACCCTCCTTCGAAGGGGGGGTCGTACCGAAACCCTCCTTTGAAGGGAGGGGTCGTACTGACACCACCATTTCACACATCACAATGCTGTACCCTGATCGTGAACTTTCGGGGAGCGCAGCCGAACGCAGCTTGGAGGCGTAAGGGACGATAATTTGGTACTCGGTCTAAAATGATAACAGGGGCGCTACATACATACACACTACCTACATGGGTGAAATGACGATACAGTGAAGTGAAACGGTCAAAAACCTGTTGAAAAAGCCTTTGTTATACACGACTCAGAAAGCAGTTTCGGACGAGTTCCCGTTGACATCGTGCCAGTAACCGCTACGGTAGATACGGCTGCATGTATGTACTCATATATCCATGCAGCACCGCGCTCCGCTTCATATCAACATCTTCGCTTCATATTTCACTTACATTTAGTAAATGAAGCAATACGAGCATCAGGTACGGTTGTTCATTTGTGGGTGGGCAGACGCGGTGGGCGTGTGGGTCAGTATGCGCTATAAGTATACCTCCCTTGGGAAAGACGCCGCCAGCGTCTGCTCAAGAACGTTGAATTCTGTCCTGCCAGGCGTATTAACCCTACACGTCTCGGGATTTTTCGTGCCACTTGCCCGCTTTTTCTGACTACAAGGCGAAAAATTCGAAAATCTATGCGGCGGGGTACGTCATGGTGTGATTAAAGGGTAACTCGATGTGATATAGCACCAGAACCATATACTCCTCTATATACGGAGGCCGCTTCAACTTCCAGGCACATATTGCTCATTTGCTGTTCACCATTTTCGCTGGGTCTGGCGCGGTGCCAAGCCCTTTCTCCACCAGTTGTGAAAGCTGGCAGGTGACCGCAGATGGTGAGAACTAGTTGAATCGTCCGCGAGCCTCTTCTCCTCCTGAATGCCTCAGCGTCTGGAGCGACCATTCAAATGCCACCACAATTCTGAAGAAGGATCAAGTGCGTGGAACATCCTGAAACTGCCTTAATAAAAGCGCTTCATGTATGATTCTTATTTTGGAATCCTCCGAAAAGGAATGTTATTAGTGCTTTTCAGTCTCCTCCTGCTGAAGCGAAAGCGGCTGTAAAAACTGCTGTCGAGACCGGATATCGTCTAATTGACACGGCTGCTGTTTATCAAAACGAGGAAGCTATTGGTGAAGCAATTAAGGAGCTGATTCAGGCCGGGAAAGTCACTCGTGAAGAACTTTTCATCACAACTAAGGTACAGACGTTCTCACTTATTGTTCTGTTTCTTGTTCATTACTGTTTTTGAAGGATAGAGTTGCTTAAGTTTCACCACAGTGAAGCCTTACAGTAAAATAGGAAGTTAAAACAGGACTGCTAGCGGCTCAGAGTTGTGCGAGAGTGTTGGTGGAGATTAAAGAAGAAGGGTGAATGGGTGACGAGAGGAAAGTCGCAAATATTAGGTATAAGGATAAGTTATATTACTAGGAATAAATAAACGCAAATATTAGGAATAAGTTGAATCAAAGGGCGACAAGGTTCGTATAAAAATACTAACCATAACACCAGAAAACTATGTAGATGTAGAAAATGCTTTGATAAGGGAAACCTTCCCTTCGGGTATTACCATTTCTTCGGAATAAAAGTAATTGATCTCGAGAAAATCGTAGTTGGTACAATAAGTGACTAAGCATTCGAGTCAACATTTGAGAAATTCTCCTCAAAAAATTTCGAAGTGGCAAGGGAGATGTTTAGAAAGTAAGGAAAGTTCAAAAACTATTCGGTTGGAAGGCCTTTAATAAGAAAATCATCGAATGATGGTTTGCGTGACTCTCTGAGGAGGCAAAAGAGCACAAGATGAAAGCAAGGAGGACATCAACAAGTCCAAGCAAAAAAGAAATTGAATTGAGGAAACTAGGGGGCAATAGAAACGCAGTCGTGCATTGTTGCTCAGCTGTTAGGCATTCCGAAGACCAGCATTCCCGTTTTTTTAAAGATTGGTTCTGGTCCATCAGCGAAACTAGGCCATTTCTTCCCTCATCACTTTATGATTGTTCCACCTCGAAAGAAGAAAAACATCGGATCTCAGCGTGTCGGATCAATGTTCTGGAACAAGAAACGTAATGAACTGCGCCGTAGAGCTCAAGCTTAGAACGAGATATTGGCCCTCCTTCATAGGCATCCACTGGGGACATCTGCTTCAAGCCTGGCCCTTTTGTTAATGTTCGGCCTCACATAGCCCTCAGAGAGTCGAGCTCTAAGGGTATGATGTGGCACATTGCTATTAGGTCATCCCATTCAAAAGTGCCGTCGGTTTTATTCGAATAAAACAAAGAGGAGAATAGATAAAAAGTAATATTTTGGCTTCAAGTTGAGTAAATCCCTCCTTCACCAACCCGCTCCCAGTGCCCCGAAAGCCTTTGGACCTCTGGTACCTTCGATTTTTCAACAAGTGCGAGTAAATTGCTGTTGATGCCAATTTCGGCGAATGACAAAACATTGTAGCGTTTGCCGTCGGAGAGTACTCTCGACTGACGAGAACAATTGGAATCGCTCGGCTTTATGTCGGGCGAATGGGGCGATTGAACCCAGGTCTCAGTATTGTTTGTGTCTCCAGCACTACCCTACAATACAAGTTACTCGG